CGTCTTCTGGTGAGATTGACCTATGAATCTCTTCATCATGTACTTCCATACGAAATGAAAGTCTTCACGTTAAGTTTATCTCAGGAGATTCTCCGAAACCCGCATTTTCTTCATAAATACAAGCATTTTTGTGTACACCTAATCATTGGCAATAGGCCAACGCGTCTCTCCAACATAAGGTCGACCACAGGAGGACACGATCTTGTAGCTGCCGTATCTCTCTAAAAGTTGGCATAACCAAAGAAAGTGTGCGAATTTTTAAAAAATCCTTTTTATCTCCCCCTTTCTCACTTTTGCTGAGATCGACCTTAAAATCTCTTCTTTCTTCACTTTCATATGAAATGAAAGTCTCTCTAACAATGCTATTTTAGGAGATCCATCGAAACCTAATTTCTCTTCGTATTGTATTTGTCATTGAAATCAACAACATCTTTTATTTTCAGCACGATTATGTTCCGAAACTATCAGTTAACCTCTATTCACCATAGGTCTCTTAAGCACCGAGTATGTAGTAATTTGAGACATACTCTTGCCGAAAATATTGTAAACAGGTAACCTTGTGTTTAGTTAGCATCATTAGTATCGTGTTCACGGAAAGATGCCGGCAGTCAGTCGCTGACCCACCTGCAATGAGGAGGCTGGCATGAACATTGAGGCAATCGGGTTGCTCGTCGACTCTGTGCTCGTATCCACGGGGCAACTGCTCACAGCAGGAGCCGCGAGCATGTGCAACCCGGCGGCGGCCGATCTTCCTAGACCCTGGGCTGCAAACATGGGAAATCCTGTCCCGGAGTCGGGCGAGGAGAGTCCTGCTAGTCTGCGCATCTCTGGCGCCTGTACCGGTAGCGATGGTGAATGAGATTGTAAAAGCAATGACGACCGTGGCTTGGCGAGTAGATTGCGGCTACTCGCCATGGCAACAGCCGCAGCAGTCGGGGATGTAATGCAAGAGCTCGAAGTGGACAAAAATTGCGAGATTGCTGAATTGGAGGATGAGGGATTGACAGAAGGCGAGTGCGGAGGAGGCAAGGCAATCGAGGCTTTTGGATAGACGTGTGCTGGACCTGGTGCTGTACTGCTTCGTGGAGGACACGGACCGAAGCTTGACGAGGACGAAGATGACACCGATGATGATGAGGAGATGATCGGAGAGTCCCGGTGGACAGGAGAGCTTTCCGGCTCGTTAGTGTTGCCTCCTTTC